GGGAGGGTGGGGGTTGTGGTGCAGGTAGTGGGATGAGACTGAGGGAGGGGGCAGATGGAGGAGGTGCAACACGGGAGAGTTGTGAGAATGGGAGCCTGTGAAAGATGGAGGCTTTTGTTAGTGGGACTCGGCCTGTGAACTTGAGTTTAAGCTGTGACTGTGGTCTTCTGCAGTTTGCATCTTTATCTGAGCTGAACGTAACAAAATATAACTTTTATTTTTTTAATAAAATGACTTCAGAATATATGAGTTCAACCATTTGTTTTGTAGCTCCTTAGAAGTCCTGTGTGGAAGGTGCACCAAGCTACCATGCTGTGTGCCAAAGATAAAATGATGATAAACCTTGAAAAGTGATACATTTGTGTAGATTATTACGCGTTGATTATTCTGCACAGACAAACTTTTGATATCTCTGGTGTTGTTGTAAATGTTTTAAATGAAACAAATATAAAGATTGATTTGTGGAAACAATGAATTGTTCTTTCATGTACTTAACTCCCTGCATGGGTCCAAAAAACGATCATTCTGGTCTAGTTTGTTGATCCAAAATCAAGAGTTTCCTGAAACCCTACTGTAATAGAATAATTACATTCAAAGCTTAAACTAACAAATCTTTCTTTACTTTCGCAAGATAAGGCCGAATGTTTTACATAAACAGGTTATGTCTGACAGTATTCAGTATCAGACAACAAAAGGAATCATTTTGTCAGATTATCAATCCACATGACAAAACCAGCAGTGTAGGCGGATCCCGTGTAAATCCCTCTGTCCTGTGTGCCATGAACATGAGAAAATGTAAGTCGCTAAATGTTTGTCAATTTAGGTTTAAATGGCATCTCCACGTTTTGTATTCTAACATGTTTTCATCTACATGAGCCACTTAAAATCACAAGTAGATAATATTTAAGCAGGCATGGTTTAAATGGTATTTTTAATTCAATAAAGATTTTGTTTGCTTAAAAAAAGTTTTGAAAGCTGATAAATGTGTTTTTAGCCTTGAACCCAAGTTGTATCAAACAAACATGACGGATGGACGCCACCTTGATCTGTCATCTGAGCACCATGTCTCAACTTCACAGCTTCCTTAAACAAAAAATGCAAACAGCAATAACACAACCATCCACTCACCAATAAGGAGTCTCTCTTCTCGAGGTGTTTTGTAGATATTGAGTCAGTGTTCCTCCGGCGCTCTCTCTCTGGTTGTTATCATAAGTTCAGCCTGCCTTTTCACTACACTTTCTCCCGCTCATTCACTTTTGGTATCACACACAGTGTGCTATTCCTCCGTCACTCACTCTCTCCACTGCTCCTATGAGGAACAGATGAGGATTGGAGGGATGAAGGGAGATCAGTGATGAAGGGATAAACCCTGGGATGGACAGAGAGAAAGAGGGCTGGGGGGAAGGGGGTTGGGGGTGGATGTGGAGAAGTGGTGTGCAGTGGGGGTAAAAGAGACAAAATAGGGAGAGAAGACCGTGGGGGGAACCAAACAAGGTGCAGAGCGTGGCTGCGGGGTCACAAGACATGAGCCGGGGTGAATCTGAATCAAAAACTAAGAGATGGAAATCATGGAGGGGAGGGGAAAGAAGATAAATACAGGAGCTGGGAACATGGCTTTTTATGGTGCTGAGGTGGTCTTAAAAAGATCTGGGACTGGCAGGAGGGTTTGTGTTTTGTAAACTCGAGGTGAAGCTAATATTAGAAGCTTTATGGGCAGAGATCAGACAGGGTACTGAAGTGATATTGAGAATAACTGCAGGATCCAGGAGAGAGGTGTCTCTGGTTCAGCACTTACTACACAAACACTACCACCACGTATGGTTGCATACTTACAGTGTTTTACAACTAGAAACAAAAGGTTCATTCTTTTATTTTTTGCCCTCGCCCCTCCCAGTGCACACCTTACTCTTGTTGTGTATTATCTAACAACGTACATCACCTGTATTCGTTATGAAACAGCACAGCGCCCGTTATTGTCAAGATAACATTTCCAGGCCAAAGGATGGTTATCTGAGTACTAGCTGCCTTTCATGGGATAACAGCTGTGATGGCAAAGCAAGCATTACCTAAAATGCTCACAATGTTTTTTTGATAATAGACAAATCCTCCTTAATGTTAGGTACAATTTTAGCCCTATATAATGCCCATAGTGAGCAGTGCATGTGGCTGTGGTAGATTAAACATGGTGTAACAAGTTATCAATATGTTGACAATGTTAGTATTGCTCCTCTAGGGGTAAATAAAATAAATACAGTTTGCAAAATAGGAGTCATATAAATATAATTAAAACACACAGTATGTTATTTTGCTGATATCGGTAGTTCTTTGTTATGCTGGACTTAATTCTTTGCTTTTTAAAGGGGACATTTGTGATCAGGAGAAGCCAAGGAGAAAAAATGTAAATGAGACATGACAGGGCCTTAATGTTCAACAGCACCTGGGATGCTGCTGTAGCTGATTGTGACCTTTGACCTCCCAGTGTAAAATGGGAAAAGAATAGTACTGTTCATTTGTCAACCTTTAACAACCAAGATTTGAACTTTTTAAAGGGATCAATGCTGAGTGTTTAGATGCTCTTTTGTACCCTGGTTTTCGAGCCTCTTCCTGGTGTGGCTCTTATTCAGAACAAGATCTTTAAATGGAACCTGAGAAATCTGGTTATTAACATTTGTGTTTATACATGATCATAACAGAAACCAGCGTTTAATTTAAACTAACCAATCTATGCACACTGCTGAATGTAAGCACTGTAAAAAACTCATGTAAATTATCCCATCTGTTGCATAATTACATTTTCTATTATCATGTTTATTTCAGCATTTCTGCACTACGCAACACTGCACTATGTCTTATTTCCTTTTGTTCATATTAGTCTTTGCTTATTTTGTGTTTATGGTTGTATTTAATGTTATACATTTGAACATAGAGAGCATAGATCACTGAAGTCAAAGTCCTCGTGTGTGTAAGCATACCTGGCCATTAAAGCTGATTCTGATTCAGAACAGCCGTCTGCAGGTTTGTCTTACTTAACTTTTCAGCCACTTTGTTCAGAACAATGATTGATAAGACACTGATATAAGGCGTCTCTCTAAGAGGTCTTAGAGGTCTCCAGGTATCACAGCATCTCAAAACCAGGATAAGGCCTTTTTTAGAATTTCTGCAACCACTGATACAATGTTTAAATGCACACCACATAACCAGGACATTAAAGCACACGATAACACAGTCTTTGTGATTCATACAATATGGATAAAAACACACTAAGGTTTCTGTTGTGTGTGTGTGTGTTGTTTTTTAATGTGTGGCCTACTCCTTGTGATCATTTTTAGATTTAGTGTGGATAAACTGAGTTCTGTAGTTCAACAGCGTTGACCTTAGCTCACTTAAGCACAGTGATGACAGAGGCCGGCTGACCTGAGCCTGGATTTGTAGAAATGGAGTTGGGCCACTGCAGGCTGTGAGAGAAGATGGAGCGTAAAGCTGAGAGAAAACCTGAATGAGTGAAGGACGATTTGCTAGCACAGACACAGGCCAAGATAAAGGCAGAGAACCAGTGTGTTATATTTGTGTGCTAAAGAACCTGAGATGTTTTTATCTTGCATTATCTGTCCTATAACATATTTTATCTTTCCATTTGTAGCTTACTTTATCTGGAATTTTAATGCCATTGTGTGGAGACTTTGCCTTTTGTGTTCTTTAAAGCCGGGCAAAGCCCCTCTTTTATGAATAAAAGGGGTAAAGTGGGTGTAAGTGGGTGTGGATTGGGGTTGGGTCAACGGATTAAATGACATGTCAGTCTGTCAAAAACAACTATTGTGACGTGCATATATAGTAAATAACTGAATGCTATCCTCCTATTGAATCTTGTGTTATTATTACTTCAAAAAAAGGCCATCATACAGGAATCATCAGAAGATGCTGGAGGAGCTGTTTGGACCACAAACAGAAGGATAATGAATGTGTGGAAGTGCAACAATAGGGATGTGTGATCATGTCTACTACAGTAGAGCATAATTACATCAGGACGCAGTGATTTCAGTTTATAAATAACTATGCCGTTAGGCCTTACATCATTTCTGCAAATGATATAAAGTATGATAAGTTGACGTCATACAGCTATAAATTTCACACATTCCTGACAAGTAGTGTAGTCGGAACGATAGATTGCCTGGGTGCTTAGTGTGAGGGTATCCAAGAGGCATTATATAGAAATAACACCTACTTAAGAGCAGATTAATGCAGACCTTTAGGGTGCAGCGTGGTTCTAACGTGTGAGGGAGGGAAAAGGTTAAAACCAAGGCTCCATTAAACAGGCCTGCCGACCCAATTCTGCATTAGCAAAGGGGGGGATTATAACACAGGGAGGGGGGGGAGTGAGAGTGTTAATATCAGCCATAAACAGTACTTGACTCTGTACCTAATGTACTGCACGGAAGCAGAGTAGGGGACTAAAAGGAGACACTGGTTTTAATGGGGAGGATAAAATGGGAGTGTCGCTCCGACCGACGTGAATGATTAAATGATCTCCTGCTGGATTAATATTCCATATTCTAAATGGGAGATTTTTTAAGCTTCGTAAACAAATGCTCTCATTTATGAGGGATTAACAATAATCTCTCTATTTCTATCCTTTTTCCCTCCTGTGCACCTCTCCATACCCCCCCTCCCCACCTCCCTCTGTCTCTCTTTCTCTGTTCACGCTTCTCTCTCTTCTGCCTTGAACTGTAGTTTCTCATGTTGTTGCATAAAGGTAACTACGTTTCCTAGAGCTGCATCACTGTCTAATTGCATAACTTATCACGTGCTTACACTATTAAAAGACATGAACACAGTGACGTTTTTTTTTTTTAGTTTGAGCCAGCCGGAGAGTGTGTATGTTGATCACTTAACAGATTACACATCCTTCCTTACTCTTTTCTGCCCCTTTTCTGACCTCTCTTTGTCACTTAAGTACTTAAGGTCTCTTATTAATGTAGAAATACTACAAAGTACTAATGAGAAACTGTTAAAGAGTCACATTTATTTGTTCTTTTATCTCTTACTTTTTTAAGGAAGTGATATTGGTCCATAAAGCTGCTTAAACACACATTGACATTAGAGAGAGGAAATGACAGTGTTTCCCCCGCTTATCTTCTTCATGTACAGTATAAATATTCTATGTATATACTTGTGCAAGCAGCTTTACATAAAAGAGGCAGCAATATGAATGTCTGTGTGGAGAAAAAAAAAGGAGAAAAAAAAAAGTTCATGGTGTTCATGGTGGGAGAGTGTAATGGTCCTATTATGGGAGTGGACACAGATGAGAATGTAGTCCAGTTTGGGGAGTTTCAGTCAGTCTGGATGTTCTCACAGCTCATCTTTCCCCCCCGTCACCCTTCCTCTCCCCCCTTTGCCTCTTTCCTTCGATGCTTGGCTCCGCGCGTTCCTGCCGGCGGTGCCCTCTGTCTTTTCCTCCTCCTTTTTCACCACGCTCTGTCCGTCTGCAGCCCACATGTCCTCCGCCTTCTCTCGTTCCTGCGGGACGAATACAAAAGCATAGTAATGACGGATACAGGTTTGGGTTCTTCAGCAGCTCCTGTAACATGAAAGGCAAGTTCTGAAGTGACTGATTACAATTGTTCAAATAAAGAGTCAGCTCTTCTCTAATTCTAATATTTGTCTCATTTTTTTGGAAGCCGGTTCATTTTCATCTTCCTGTGGTAGGTGATAAAACAACAAGGACGTGAGACTGTGTCTCCTTTAGGTGGGCCCCATTGGTGATATCTTTAATAAAATAGTATGACAATATAATGTAGAAGCCCAAGAGCAGTGGTGTAGTTCAGGGTATACGCAGGTTTATGAAGTATATATCTTTTTTCAGTCTCCTTCAGGTATACCCACTTCTAAATCTCCTCTGATTCACACCAATGATCGAGTGACAATATCCATGGTATGCTGCAATTTTTTGCTTAAGGTGGTGAAGGGATGATTTTCCCTACTCTGCCCTAAAAGGCCAATACACACTAACTAAAAATTCAAAATGTCACTGTTTTTTACTTTTACAAAGATTCACAACAGAGGCCGTTTATTCTCTACTGGAAGGGCCACATAAAGGAGGGGATGGAGGTTAAGCGTGTACCCACTTCTTTAGGCACCACTACACCACTGCCCAAGAGCAAGATTGATATAGTTAGTCAACTGACTGAGTTGGTTCACATATATGGTTCAGCAATACCTGTGTATTTGCCGACACTAAACACCATAAGGTATTGCTAATTGAGACGGATCAGCAATGTGCAATGACATTGTTCAATATTACAATGACAATAACATTTGAGATAAGCAAACATAAATTAAAGAGTTCATTTTAGCTTGAACTTGCAGTTCATATTTCTGTATGTTGCTCTTCATGTTTTATTTTAACTGCATCATAATGCTGTGAAAGGATGGCCATTACACACCAGGCCTCCATCCAGTAGCTTAAATGTACACATGCTGAGTGGAAAAAGTGTTGCTTGATAACACAAAATATTTTGTTCTCGTTTGAAGCGTTAAATTGAGATGTTTTAAATGAGTTCATTGTGAATGCGAATATCGTGACGCTTAAATTGCTGTAAATTGTGCAGCTCCAGTATTTATCATACAAGATAAGATCTTTTCCATGATACAGACTGCGATGTGTGCACCATGCAAATGTTAGCCATTACTAAACTGGGCACGTTAGAGGAACTCTTTTAAGATTATTTTTAACTGAACAAATAAGCCACTACTTGATCGGAGGAGACACTTATGTTTAATTTATTCTTGCAAAACGGTTCATAATCCTTTTTGCTCCAAAAATCATATTTAAAAATTTTGAATTGAAATTGAAATATACCACATTATTGTTTTTAAAAATCCTTATTTTTTCACAAATTAAAAGGGCTACTGAATGGTTCCTTGCAGATATACATTCAATATATAGTAAACTGACGTAGTTTGAACCCAGACTGACAACAACATGCAGATTTGCATTTCACTGCAGTTGGCCTTGTTATCCAACACTGTTGTCACGACAGCCACACTTCAATGACTGCAGGAGACAGGTCAGACCTGAGGTGAAGGTTGAACAATGGTTCTCATCACTAATACTCACCATGTCCCTGTAGAGCTTCTCCGTTGTGAACCAGAGGGCCAGAGCGCACCGCCGGCCTCTGGTCACCGCTGTCACACCGTGAGGGTTTACTGGACCTGAGGAGAAGCCAACCAGTCTCCCGCAGCTGGGTTTTACTCGAGCCTGGGGACATGGGGGTTCAAGTTGCCTTTAGCAGGTTCAAATGAAGTGATCTCAGATAAAACCTCAGTCTAAGGTTTAAAAGTAACTTACTGTTACTGTCTTTGCGTCCATGTTAGTGAAAAACAACTCTCCACCATCAAAGTTGTCATTCAGGTAGAGAATGGCACTGTGGATGAAATAATAAATAACCATATTGATATATAATATATTGTAAGCAAGTTCAGCAAACACTCTGTTAGGATGCTGTGTTTTCCTGCTTTCCCTGACTGATAGTGATTATGTTTGTGTACCTGAGTTCTCTGTGTGTGAAGGCTGGTGGTTCCCTCCAGCACTGCTTGGTCTCTGGCTCGAGGAGACAGTTGTCAACATGGACAGGATGAGACAGGTCCAGCCTGCCCTCCTGGTCACCTGAGGCCATAGACAATCAAACACATGACTTCTCTGACGGACATGTTGACAGTGAAGAAGTCTGTGAAACCTCACAGTAGGTTTTTTTTTTTCTCCTCGTGATCAGCCCTTTTTGCATTTTTACATAGAGTGATAATGATTCCCGCTCCTGAGGGATTTGAATAATGGTTGCATTACCTGCGACAGCACTGCGGCAGACCAGGTGTGTGAAAGAGACGAAGAGTCCTGAGGGGCTCCTGAAGTACGAGTGAAGCAGAGTTCTCACTCTCTCGCCCAGCTCGTATAACAGCTTTGCATCTGATTGGTTCACCAAGCCATCCTGAGACAACTGCAAAAAGAACATGACCACATAACACAAATCCTCATAAGAGATCATGAGATCACCACTGAACAGCAAGATAATAACGTTATTTTTTTAAATAATTCAGCAGGTTAACAAACTTTAGGAGCTGTTAATTCAGAGTTAAAATTACCTTTTTCATTGTTGAATAATTTGATGGTTATTTCTTCAAATAATATGTTACCTGTTTGGTCTAAATGATGTCAGAAATGGTGAAAACATTGATCACTATTTTCCGAAGCCAAAAATAATATCTTAAAATGTCCCTTTTTGTCAACAACCCAAAATATGTATTTCTTAACTGGCAGAGATGATTAAAGACACTAAAAATAATTCCCATTTCAGAAGCAAGAACCAGAGAGATGTATCTATTTCTTCTTTTAGAATGTACTTAAAAATGATTTAAAAATCTAAATATTTGCCAATTTATATGCGGGTTGACAAATAATAAATTAATATTTTTTCGTTATTGCTGCTCCAGTCAAATCTTTTTCTTCTTCCTTCATTGTCTCCTCCTCACCCACCTTCACTGCCCTGAGGACCGTAAGGCCTTCAAACGTCTCATGAGGCGTGTGCGGAGACCTTCGGCCTTGATAACCATCTCCAGCCAAAGCTGCAGCCTGTAGGCGAAGAGATTGATTTGTACGTCACAGAGGGAACTGATCTGAGAAGGCAAGACTGTGAACAAATGTAAACTTACAGATGCTAACTGCATTATCTTGTCACACTCCTTCTCAGTCATGACTCCATCCAGCACTACGCGGTTGGTTCCATTCAGAACCTCGTCGTCCATAGTGATGGTCACGCCCACCTGAGGGACTGGACCACCTGGAGAGACAGTGAATGAGGAAGGATTAGTGGGGAAACTGGTCAATTCTTAACTGCATCAAGCGGATAAACTAATCCTACCTGCATAAAATCCACTGTCATCCACTACCTCCTTCTTCTCTTCCTCTTTTGTTTTCTCATTAATTTTCTCTTTTTCAGCTCTGAAATTAAAACATAAACAACACTTAGATTACTTCATATTGGAAAAACTTTTTACTCAGAATGGATTTTCTTCTGTTTATCTCACTTCCAAACACCCCTCATTGATTCTGGTACAACGTCTTCTGGAGTCCAGAGATCCTGAATGGAGGGCAAACGTTCAATTTTTTAATTCAACTTTTGACATGGAAATAGTGATTTTGCCTGAGTACTTACTGGGTCAGTGAACTTGAAGTCAAGGTTCTCCATACCAAAATACAGAAGCTTTTTCTCCTGCAGAGAGCGACTGACATACGTGACAAACTCCTGTGTAAAAAAAAACCACACAAAATGAAGTCAGGTAGAACAAAAGAGTGAGTTTAATTCTTGATGAGTGAAAACAGAAAGAGAAACTGAGATAATAACAAACAAATTTGTAATTTTAATTTGAATGTAATGTCAGGTACCTGAGCAGGCTGTGTGCCCTGTGACTCTGTGTCTCCACCTAGTGTCTCAAAGTAGAGCTGCAAGTTGTCTAATGATTCCTTGTCAGTGGGGTAGAACAGGAGAAGAGAGCGTAGAGTCTGCACTGCTCCACTAATATCACCAGCTGGGGGAAAGAAGGGAAACAAAACAAAGGAAAGTTGTAACCAATGTTTCAAAATGAAAGTGGGTTAAAACTGAGCTGAAGAAACACATACATTGTGTCATTATATTGAAAATTCCTGAATAATGTACAGTTTAATCTCCAACCGCAGACCTTTAAACTGTGCAATATGCATGTGCTCCAGCTGTGAGGGCAGGAAATCCTCCTGTGCAGAAATCCTCCCAGGTCTTGTGGCTATCTGAGTTACACAGGACTGTCGGCATGACAGCAGGGAGAGGGAGAGAGCTAGACAGAAAAACAACTTTAGGCACTTTTTTTTTTGTTGTTGCTGCAAACATGTCAAGCTCCGACTGTTGTTTTGTACCTGCGGCCTGCTCGAAAACACCGTCAACTCCCCTGTCCTCTGGCAGCCGCTGGGAGGCTACCTCACATTGCACCCTGCACTCCTCCATCTGACGCAGTGTTTCATTCACACACGCTTTCCATCTTTCTGCAGTCTGCACCCAGTCAGAGGAGGCCTCATGCTGAACTGCAGAATCATACAGAACCTGAGTTGGAAGAGAAAAAAAAAAAACTTTCAAGAATTTTTTTTTTGCTAGCCTAGCTTTATTAATATAAGAAAATAAAAGTACAGTTTTTGAAAACTTTCGTCGCATGGTTACATGCCTACATGAGCCCTTTATGCCTATTTCAAACAAGCCTAATCATGTGAAGGAAATTGCTACTGAATAAAAAAAATGTGTGGCTCAGGCAGAAGATGTCAATGGGTTACAACAAGCTTTGATTCAGTGGTAGGTTGAGAGAAAGTGAACATAAGCAAGAGGAATTCAGTCCCCCAGGCCGTGGCTGTCTCTGTAAACTCATTTCTTTTTAAATGCTTCTCCTGAGCGGTCAACATAATCAGTTTTAAGCACTGCTTTCCCAAATGGATTGCACAACTTTGAGCCTTTGGATATTGATCATTTGAAACACAAAAGTGAGATGTTAAACCCCTTTTCTAATAAATAGTAAACAAAGTAGTAGCCTATGTACTGACTTTATTCCCTGCTGCTCACCCAGTGTTTCTCATTCTCTATCTCTCTGTCCTGGAAGGCGTCCTCGGACACTCCTTCCATCCGTCTGTACTTCTCGATGTTGTTCCTCATCTCCAGGTGATTAGGGTTAGCCACAAAGTATGTATGAGCTGCTGATGCCGCCTTCTGCAACTTTTCCAACTGACATGCAGAGATTGAAAAATGTGAAATAAGTTTGTCAAAAGTAAACATTTGTGAGCTGAATTCAAATTAGAGTTGGAGAACGACAGGATAAGTATTCAGCTGTTTGCCCCAATTGCTTATTTGAAATAACATGAAGTGTATGTCCATCAGCAAGATCAAGACATTATTAAATGTTCTTTTAAACCTTCAAGGCTTCCAGAAGATTAGCTTACCTTGTAGTATGTGACTTGCAGGAAGTTGTAAGGGTTGCGACTACCGAATTCATACTCTATGTCTGCAGAAACAGGAAGCTGTCCTGCAGGTGTGACTGAGCGTCCGATGCAGAACCTCAAACATTCAGCTCTCTGCTGCACCCAGTCCAAGGCCCAGAGGTCCCACAGACTCCCCTTTTCAGAGTCTAACAGCACAGAAAACAATGAAGGAGTTTTTGAAAGTGAAATATGACACTAAGCATTGTCTGTAAGTTAAACAAAATAACAAATTCAAAAGTGCAGTACTGAGCATCCTGTGTTTTAAAGCTTTTGACTAGTGACTATAACAATTTATAAATTAATTCAAAGTATGAGGTATTAAGTAACTTCCCTTCATCATATTTGTGTTTTTCTAAATCAGACAGTGGGACAGTTGCATATTTGGGCCAAACACTCAGGACCTGAGAGTCAGCAAAGCTGCCTGTGAGTTCACAGCCAGGTAGTTTCAAACTAATATTAACCATGATGATGTCTGGTGTACCGGTAATTAGTTTTTTACCAGTACACAAATTGATAAATAAAAATATTTGTCAAGGGTCAGTAGTTACAAATTTGTTGTTGGGAGAACTACAAACATCACAGGATCAACCTGATGGATTACAGGATAATACAAGAGATTAAAAGAAAGTAAAATACTTTTTGGTTGCACAAAATGTTGCTTTAACCCTTTCACTGTAAATGCTGATGGTTTCACCTCAGTCTGCACCTCAATTTGAGAAATAAGAAAAAAACACACTCTCGATGAATGACTGCACACCTTATGGCAATGATTTAAGGGTTCACTTGTAAACATGCCATCAAAGGGTATATGGCAACCAGATTGGGAACCACAATCATAGTCTATGGTGAGTTTAGAAAAGTCAAGTGTGACTGTTTACAACTGGTCTGTCTTGTAACGTGAATTCATTCATTGTTTATGTAGCTTGAGGAATTGTTGCACCAGGCCATAATATGAAACGTGCCGTTCCTCCGTAGGACACACCCAGTAAAAATCACAACATTTGATTATAAATCACGACTTACTTAGCTTATCAAGAGCCTCTTCCCCTGCTGACACACAGTCTTCATGACACTGCCTGCGGACCCTGGACAGTGATTCTTTGGCGACGATGGATTTCTCCAGCAGCTCCGCAGCCCTCACCCACTCCTCACCAAAATATGAACGTACCCCACTGTAATACAAATAATCATACGGCTGCAGAAGCGACAAGACGTGAGAGCTGCCACGACCTGAGGCTGCAAAGGCGAAATCAAGTATTGTTGCAAAAAACAAAGTAAACGCCACGTATGCAGTGAAATGGTTGCAGTTGAGCGCCATGGTCCCACAACCAAACACTGTGGAGGAGACGGAGTTTGAAGAAGAGGAGGGACTAGGGGGAAATATTCAGGGAACGAAGGAGAGTGCCATCCGGGGTTAGGGTTAGTTCCTCCTGTTTGAGTAAAGTAGAAGCGCTGTTTTTCACTTTATGTATTAATAAAATGCTTCTGGTCAACGACTGATTATATCGTCTATTTAAAATGAGACACTGGTAACTTCTTGACTTTTGAGCTTGTTAAATTAGATTGTGTGATGTGTGTGGACTCCACCAACATTCACCAATTCGTGTTGCAGTACGCCCATTTCACCGCTAGAGGAACCCACTACCGTAAATATTCTAATAAACTGGGTCGATATGTTATAGATTAAATGTTACTGAACATGTAAATTAAGTAACAATATAAATAAATCGACTACCCACATTTAGAAATAGTCGAAGCTGTGACTTTGGTTAAGTTATTGTGATTCGATTGTTAATTTACTGTATTAACAAAATCACAGTGTTCATAAATTAACAAGCAGTCCAATGTGGAGGGAGTTTGACTGGAAAGTCAAAATGCGATACTTTAACACTCCATCCATCACCTCAAAATACAGCTGTACTTCTGAGTTGTGCTGGAGGGGATGTGGATTTTACACACATTTTTTGGGACTGCCCAAAAGTTGTAGACTTTTGGAAAAATGTACAAAAAGAAATAAGTCAGGTTCTGGGCATCAATCTAATCTTGGATCCTTCACTCTTTATTTTAGGTATAGCTCCTGATATCAACATGGACAGAGACTTTTGATTTCCTTGATTAGAATTTTACTATTAATAGCAAAGAAAACAATAACAACATCCTGGCTGAAACCACAGCCTCCCAACATAAATCAGTGGAGACAAAGATTAAAAAATGTTTTCATCATGGAAAAAATCACAGCCAGATTACAGCTGAAAACAAACAAAATTGATGTAAGATGGGCCCCAGTGATGCAGATAATGCCTGGGCTCTAGTCACCGCTTAATATAACATTTCATTATATTACACTATATTGTTCATATTGCACTATATTATATTATATTATACTACATTATATTATTTAACTGCACTCTGCATTACTGTGGTACAACACTGCCTCTCTTCTCTGCTGTTTTACATTACTTGCTGCTATTTTATCATACCACGTCACTTTAATCATCACTTGTCACTTTATCTTGTCATTCTCTGCAAATACTGTCTCAATTCTCAATTCTCAATTCCCCCCAGTTAACTTCATCATTCATTTTGTACTGTATACACCCCCCTGTTTTTATTTTTATTTTTATTTAATTTTATTTATCTTATCTATTCTGTTTAATGTGTATTTTGAGCTTTCTTGTCTGTTTCTTGTCTTGTCTTATTTTACTTTAAATGCACTTGTCTATTGTATAGCAAATTACCAGTATGTTAGCAGAAGTTGTTAATCAATCAAGGAAAAAGGATTGAAAAACGATGTGAAGGCTGCCATATGTGTGGTTATATGCATGTATGTAAGTCTAATCTAATGCAGGTATGACGGAAAGGCTGTGTGGTTATATGCATGTATGTAAGTCTAATATAATGCAGGTATGAAGGAAAGGCTGTGTGGTTATATGCATGTATGTAAGTCTATGTCTATGTAATGCAGGTATGAAGGAAAGGACTGTGTGGTTATAATGCATGTATGTAAGTCTAATATAATGCAGGTATGAAGGAAAGGCTGTGTGGTTATATGCATGTATGTAAGTCTAATATAATGCAGGTATGAAGGAAAGGCTGTGTGGTTATATGCATGTATGTAAGTCTAATATAATGCAGGTATGAAGGAAAGGCTGTGTGGTTATATGCATGTATGTAAGTCTAATATAATGCAGGTATGAAGGAAAGGCTGTGTGGTTATAATGCATGTATGTAAGTCTAATCTAATGCAGGTATGAAGGAAAGGCTGTGTGGTTATATGCATGTATGTAAGTCTAATATAATGCAGGTATGAAGGAAAGGCTGTGTGGTTATATGCATGTATGTAAGTCTAATATAATGCAGGTATGAAGGAAAGGCTGTGTGGTTATATGCATGTATGTAAATCTAATATAATGCAGGTATGAAGGAAAGGCTGTGTGGTTATAATACATGTATGGATATGGATGTGTAGTTGTGTGATAAAATGACATGTTAGGATTTCATGAGAAAATGGACACGTGTAACTGAAGTTGTATGTTTTATCTGTGCACTAAATAAATGTATTTATTGTGTATATTGTAGAGATTACGGTACCGAGCCGCAGCCCCATCGCTCGGCCTCCTCTCGTCTCATGATTCATTCAGCAACACACAGACAAGCAGCACACGGCTAAACGACGGACACGCTTGGTGCCGGGGAAATAAGAGGCTGGGGGGGTCCAAACACAAAAAAACAGCAAGTGTCCCACTGAAAGGCGGAACCAGCTAGCTTGTCATGGCAGATGTTGGGGAGGTTTTGATGTCGGTTTTGTCCACAATTCGGGTTCCGAAGCCCGGGGACCGAGTCCACAAAGACGAATGCGCCTTGTCATTTTCCTCGCCGGTGAGCTTATTCTCCCTTTTACACAAATCACACGTCAAACACACACATTGTTGTTCCTTTCCGCGTAACTGCACACTCCTCTCTCTCGCCTTTGCCTCGTATAATGTTTTATTACTTTAACGCGCTGGCTTCCTTTTTGGATGTTTCAACTAACTAGCACGCTAGCTCGGAAGCTAAGCTAATATTGCACTGTAATGGAAACTTTAGCTCCTGTAGCTTTGTAAGCTAGCTGCGCTGGTGAGAAATGTGTTGTTGTCAAACCAACCAAGGATGCTAACTTTGTTTTCTTTTCCGCAACTGTGGTTATTTTTGCAGGACTTTTCTGTGTGTAGATTATCAAAGCGTGCGCATACTTTGAAGTTGAATTTGAATGTTTTTGCATGTCCACATTAAAACAATATTTAAGCTGATTTGCATCCATCAGCCGGCTACAACATGACAGGTGATGTTGGTTAAAACATCCACATTGCCTCCACCTTGCACTTCCCAGTGTCATGTCATGGTGTAGAGAGAGAGAGAGAGAGAGAGATAAAAGACTTGCTGTGATATTAATCTTTACAGGAGAGTGAAGGAGGCCTGTATGTGTGCATGAACAGTTTCCTGGGCTTTGGGAGTCAGTATGTGGACAGGCACCATGCTCGGACTGGCCAGAGAGCTTACTTCCACATCACCAGGACTCGAAAGGCTAAGGTGATTCATTCATTTTACACATTTTTTATTTTATTTTTAAGTCTGTAGCCAATTTCTCATGGTCACATATACCCGCCCCACCCCTTAACATGCCATGTGAACCACTCTTAATATATCCTATTACATTTTTTTTTTATAGAAGGAGGACGACAATAACTCTGGATCTGGGCACCCACCGAAGAAAAAGCCCACCAGATTGGCTATAGGTGAGTTTCAGACAGAATACATATATAAACACAGAGTATACAGTTTTCTTTTCCAGAGACTGACCTGAGTCCCTCCGCACCTTTCAGAAAAAGCTAAACACCCAGCTCTTTCATGAATACCTTCTAACTTAATGATGATGGTCTTCATGTTATTGATGATGATGGTTGTGACGATTGGTTTTTGTTTGATAACGATGACTTATAAGATGGTTTCTATACTGATTAGAGCTCTCAAGAACTGCCGTCAATGTTGTGCTTTGCCTCTGGTCACTTCCTGTCAGCACCTGTGTGTCCAATCAGACTCAAAGCTGATCGTTTGCTCTTACTGACATTGTTCCCTTTTTTCTAGATCCTTGCTTGTGTTGTACTTACTCTCTGATGTACGTCGCTTTGGATAAAAGCGTCTGCTAAGTGAATTGTAGAATTGTACACCTCCCCTCTTGTTTCTGGTCTGTTCAGGGATTGAAGGAGGTTTCGATGTGGAGCAGGAGCAATATGAGGAGGATGTCAAGGTGGTCATTTTACCTGACAGACAGGAAATCACATCAGATGACCTTGCTACCATGCCGGATGTTGTGAAAGAGCGGGTAAGAAATTGGTTTGTGTGTGTTTTTCTGGCAAAAGATATGTTATTATTCTGTGAGGGTTCTGCCAGGTTGGTCACTTGAACTTTTACTGCCCTTAAATATAAGAGACAGGGGCAGTTTTAACATAACAAATATCACATTGTAATTTTTTTATTCTTTAAATAATGTAATGCTTTTCGTCGTAAGTAAATACTTAACAAAACAAGGCTGTAGTAAAAGTGTTTGGTGCACTGTGAATATGGCAATCTATTCCTCATATATGTATGTATATATATATATTCCTTTATAATAGAGTTTATTGGGGCACATACATATATATAGGCATACACTCAGTGTTGGTTTTGTTACCTTCAGCAGTCAAGTAATCGAGAAGTCTTGTTGTGAGCTGCAAGTGAGGACTCATTTTTCCTGTTGATTCATTTGCCTCCCACCAAGGTGTCCCTGTCGATGGCTGGTATCATGACAGCAGACTCAGTTTCTCATACCTTACAAGTTCAGCAGTGGGATGGAGAGGTGAGACAGGAGTCTAGACATGCTGCTGACCTTAAACAGCTTGACAACGGAGTCAAGATCCCTCCCAGGTGTGTAATTTGATCACAGCTGTCCCTTAAATAAACCAATCAAAAAGTTCCCGATAGAAGAACTGTCTTTGTGTCCTGCTGCAGAGGTCTAGTAATTGAAGTGAAGAAGATTTCAAGACAATAGTGCTTTAGCATTACATCTATTCATCCATATTGATATAGTTCCACCCGTAATTAATTCTACTGTGTATATTTTTTTTATTTTTGAAAAATGATAGCTGTTAACAGTTTGTGTTTCTTGCATTTTCTATGTCATAGTGGCTGGCGGTGTGACGTTTGTGACCTCCAGGAAAACATTTGGATGAACCTGACCGATGGCAAAGTCCTGTGCGGTCGCAGGTATTTTGATGGCTCTGGGGGCAACAACCACGCCCTTCTCCACTTCCAGCAGACAGGATATCCACTGGCTGTTAAACTCG